ATAAATTCAAAGTAAACATCATTACATAAAAGGGTACGGTCTTTTTTTTTTTTTAGTTTTTTTCATTTCAAATAGGCCGGATCCGGCCCGCGGGCCGTAGTTTGCCCACGGCTGGTAGACCCTGCCCTTCCCCATCTTTGTATCCTTCACATTGTAGGTAATGGACATATTCCTGTGTGTGTGCGTGTGTGTGTTTTAAAGAATAAGTCACCTTCCTCTCTTTCATAATAGAAAAGCCCAAGGCCAGAAAGTTTATTTTAATAAAAATTTTAGCACACTCAGCTTCAAAGATAAAACATGATGAAAAGCATTCCAAAGACAAAATTGATTTTGTTCATCCTTCATAGTGGAGTGTTCTATGTAACCACAGAGATTCTAATGTGTTGGTCTTGGGTGGGTCCTAGGAGTCAGTATTTAAAAGTTTCCAATGTGGCCCTGGCTGGTTTGGCTCAGTGGATAGAGCATCAGCCTGAGGACTAAAGGGTCCTGGGTTTGATTCTGGTCAAGGGCACGTGCCCAGGTTGTGGGCTCAATTGGCAGGAGGCAGCCAATCAATGATTCTCTCTCATCATTGATGTTTCTATGTCTCTCTCCCTGTCCCTTCCTCTCCAAAATCAATAAAAATATATTTAAAAATAAATAAATAAAAGTTTCCAGTATGCTGAACTTTGGAGAAGTCCTGAGCTAGAAAACTGCCATTGTGTGTTCTGCCCAACTTTACTGTGTGTTCCAGCCACCTGGAGAACCTATGTAACTGCAGGTTGTGCTTCAGTAGGTCTAGGCTGAACCAAGACTCTGCATTTCTAACAAACTCCTGAGTGTGGCAGATGCTGCTGGCTCACAGATTATATTCTGAGTAGAAGCAAGGCCTAGCATATCGGAGAAAATAGATTGAGTCCTACCTCTCAAGAGATTCTGATTAGGTTAGTTTTTGGTTAGACCCAACAATCTGCATTTAAAAAAATATATATTTTTATTGATTTCAGAGAGAAAGGGATAGGGAGAGAGAGAGATGGAAACATCAATGATGAGAGAGAATCATTGATTGGCTGCCTCCTACAGGCCTCACACAGGGGATGGAGCCTGCAACCCAGGCATGTGCCCCAACCGGGAATCGAACCATGACTTCCTGGTTCATAGGTTGATGCTCAACCATTGAGCCACGCCGGCCAGGCTGCATTTTAACAGGTTTTCTAAGTTGTTTCTGATTCTCAGGTGGATTTCATTATTCCTGGAATAAATGAATAAAAATGAAACTAAATTGAAAGAAACCCTGGGGATTAACCCTGGTTTTGTCATTAACCCCGGTATGACCTTAGGCAATTTCCCCCCTCTGTCTGTCTCATTTTCCTCATCAATTAAAGGATGGAGCGGTTGATTTCCTTGGCACTTCTACGTTTGTGGAAACTCCCACAACAAATCAATGGCCATCGGCGGCCTGCGGCTGAGAACTACAATCCCCACAATGCCCCGCACGTCGCCGCTCTCCCGCGGGGTCGTGGAGCGGTAACCCTATTGGAGGCGCTCCCACAATCCTTTGCGGTGGTTCAAGATGACGGCGCCCAGAGGTTCCATGAGCGATGAGGAGAGCAGCAGCGGCGGCAGCGATGCCGAGGAGCTGGC